AAAAGAAAAAGTTATCGAAATCAGAAAACTCTATAGCAAAGGAAAACAATATTTCAAGCACAACATCAGAATAACAAATATTATCACAAGCATTAACAAATCCATTGACAAAATAAATTAAGGAACTTCAACAATCCAAGAACCCCTCTGGCAAGAACCAAACTATCTTTTATTCACAGTTTACAAATGGTTGGAAGAAATCAAGAACCTATAGAAAACAGTCTACAAAAGTCTTATAACACTGACAAACAAAAAAATACAAGAGAAAATCCAAAAAAGTACAGAAAATAGATTTTTACACTTGTTTACAAACAAGAAAAAAATAATCAAATCAATTCTTGAATATAAAAACAACAATATATCTTTTAACAAACTACTAATCCAAGGTGATCCCATCACAGTAATCACAGAACCAATAGAGATCAAAAAAGAGGTGGCGAGACATTTCCAACAACCTCTTATATAAACACTACCCTCGGAAGAGAACTGGAACTACTGGAGACAAGAATTCACTCCCAAACTGAAGATTGCAGAAAGTTGATATAATGAATGCCTATAGAAGATTTTATATTAAAAAGTTCAGGAAACAATAAAGAAATCAAAGGCAAAGTCTGTTTTAGGGAAGTTCCAGATAAACTATACAATACTTAAACATATTGGTCCAGTAGGTATTAAAAGACTTATAGTACTTTTCAACCATATTATACAAACAGAAGAAATCCCTCTAAAATGGCAATACAATCTGATATACCTATCCCAAAAAATTCAAACTGGCAGTATAATCTCAAACAAATCCATCCTATCGCACTGCTAGAAACTGTCAAAAAAGTATTCACAAAAATAATCAGCAACAGACTCATATGATCTCTCCTCTTACATCAAATCCTATCGCCTTTGAATTGAACAGGACTCCCAGAAAGTGAAACACACAAACCTATCACAATTATTAACCATATAATGAAAGAAGCAAAGAAAATGAAAAAAGAACTATGGATGCTTAGCCAAGACATTAGCAAAGCCTATGACTCGATGAAATATGAAATGCTTAGCAAGGTCATGTACCAAATCAAAATCCTTGGCAAAATTCACAATATTATTATGAAATATGTCATTGAGTACACAAGCCAAGTTATTACACAATATGGATTAATAGAGCCATTTATTACAAAACAGGATATTGATTAAGGAGATACTATATCACCTATGCTTTGGCCCATATATTATGATCCACTTATCACAAAGATAAAGAATTTCAAACTGGGATATATCATAGAGACCAAAACTCTTACAATATATTTTAGAGTATGGAATTATCACAAGATTCATATCTCTTTAATCTTATATATGAATGATATAACCTGATTCACAAATTCAAAAAAAAAGATGCAAAAAATTTAAAGTATGGTCAAAAGCTTCACTAACATCACAGGTCTCAAGATAAATCCAAACAAATCCATTCTCCTAACAATAAACAACACAAAATCGGTCTCTATTATTTTTCAAGGGGATACAGTCAGGACACAAGACAAGAATATGGCTACAAGAATACTTGAGACATGGATAACAAGTACAGGCTTAAAGAAACATCAAAAACAATTAATCCTTAATAAAACCTCCTTTATCATGAAACTTCTCCAGTGAAAAAGAGTTACAAATAAACAATTTAGATACATAATCAACCAAGTTCTCATGCCAGCAATTGAATACCTCATCCAAGATACTGTATTAACTCAAAGAGAATATGACCAAATTAACAGTAGAATCATATTAACCTTTAAACACAAAGTCAGGTTTCCTTTAATAGTTATTAACAGCAGTATTCATCTATATACAGGATACAAAATATTTAATATCTATAATAGACAGCTGAAACTACAAACAACAAGATGGATCCAAGACCTGAATAAGAGAAATATTACAAGACAGATCACAAAAGCAAGACTCCAACAACTGCAGAACTGGGCTTGGTCAACTCACAATATCTTGAACACATAATACAAAATAACAAAACTTCCCTGCCACAACCTTATAGCAAATATCTTTTATCTCTTGAAATCAAACAATCTCCACATTAAAGCAATAAAGAATTTCATGCTAACTACTCCTATTTCAGAAAACAATTGAAATTCTTTGAAAGACTTTATGCCAAACTCATGGTATAACAAAAACAGAGATAACCTGAGAAAATACAATCTCATATTTATTAAACAAGCAATCAATATCACAAACTTACATTGTATCACATGGATGTACTTCAAAATCCAGTGGAGCATGAAATACATAGGATAGAAGCCATACTGGTTTGAAGAAATCACTTACTGATTCCAAGAAAAAGAAGACTACTATTCAAAAACTATTATTAATGCTTTTGCTACATGTAACCTGATGAATCAGAATAGCATCCAATATTACAAATACATTTCCACAATCATTAATTAAAACATCCACATAGGAAAGGTTAACAAGCGAATCAAAGTACTTTATAACAAATTTAAGGCACAACATTATATACAGATATCAGGAGATTCTCTTATTGAAAAATATTGCAGGTATAGAATGAACATGCAAGGGAAACCAAATACATGCATCAGGGAGATCAATATCAAAGAAGCAATTGCTATCCTAGTTAAAAAAAACAAAAAACAGCTCAAAACTGTACAATTCCATACTAAGTAATCTCTCCCGAGTTCAAGTATTATCAAATTCCATTAGACAAATCCACAATTGGAGTTACACATTACCAGAAGCAACAAATATTCCACAGATTATCATCAATAATACAGCAAGTGATATAACTAATATGGAAGAACTTGTAGGATTCAAATTATAACACAAAATTGAAAAGAAACTTAAAGAAATAAAAAGAACAATCCAGGACTGAAGAATAATAGACATCTTCACAAATGGCTCTTTAAACAAATATGTCAATAGGCAAGTCAAAATGGATATAGAAGGGATCATCATTAACCAAGAAACACAAATACAGATCGAGTTTAAAGACAGATGCAAAGGGTTCTCATCATCCATTAAAGCAAAATTACTAGCAATCCTCATAGCATTGGCAATTATAAACACAAATACAATAATAACAATTCATACAGATAGTCAAAGTACAATATATACTGTACAATTCAATCCAAGCTTCTCAGAAAGTAGAGACTAGCAAAAGCAACAAATCTTCTTACAACAACCCTTATAAGGAACAAAATCAAATCCAGAAAAGTAATAACAGAGCTTAGAAAAATCAAGGCTCATATAGAAAATAGTAACAATGAAAAAGCAGATAGTCTAATAAAGGAGAGAAGAGAGCTTGGATATGAATAGATAGTCAGAATCAAAAGTCAACACATCGATAGCCTGACTTGCACACTGCAATGAAATAAAGAAGACCTGAATATTGATACCAGTGAATTTATGAAACAATAGCAAAATAGCAAATGGATCAGTGCATGGGCTATATAAAGGAGACACAAGGTATGGTTGAGAACAGATAATGAAAAAGATATAGACTGGAAAAGAACATGGACCAATCTGTCACTATCAAAGATCACTAGTTTCGAGACTAATTAACAAGATCATAATATCAGAACATTCAGATATAAACTCCTTAATGAGAAATTGCCCACAAAAGTCAAGCTGTATAAAAGAAAACCAGATCTATATAAAGATGGAAAATACTTCTAATACAGTCACCAGAAAATCACAGAGCATATATTTAAAGAACACAAGTCAAATTAGAATTCTTAGGAATCTAAAAGAAGAAATTTCAAGCAGAATGAAAATCAAAAGAAAATTCGACTGGTGCTGCAAGCTCGAAGGAATAGTAACTGACTCAAAAAGAAATCTTAGATATATAATCAAAGGAATCTTTAGTAAAATTTAATTTTGTTAATAGAACAAGTAAATAATATAAAAACAAAAAACACATTAAGAATGGTAACAGATAGGATGACAAAAGTATTCTAAAAACTATGAACAAAAAGATGTCAATGTTTTCAGCAATGAGAAACTAGTAAAGATATTAGTAGAATCAATAAAAGAAGCAAAAGCAAAGGGTATCTATGTAATAACCAATCCAGAATATAATTAAACTACCAAAGTGGGAAACAAAAAGAAATATTAAATAGTTGGTCAGATCTTTCATGTAATGACCATAAACTAAAGTTTAATAAACGTCTTGCATGTAATGTGCTTTGCCTAAAAAAAAAAAAAAAAAAAAAAAAAATATTAAATATGCAGTGTAAGCTTTTAGAGAGCTGGCTAGATCAGAAAAATAATATTATTAATTTTAATTTTTACTATTCATATAATAATAACACTGATGGAGCCTTGGCACATTAGCCTTGACAAATACTATTTGGACTAGTCAATAGCAACAAGCCGATATGAAAGAAATTTGATATAGTCTAATATGTATCTAGAATAGTTTATAGATAGTAACTCTTGTAAAAGAAATAACATATGTAAACTAAATAAAGTATATTAGGCAAGGCCTAGTTAGTTGAATTAAATAAATATATATATATATATTTAAAAGTTGTATTTTTTCTTTAATTAACTTTAGAATTGTTTGCTTTACTTTTATATTAACAAAGTTTTTCTTTAATAATGATAAACTATTGATAACTATAATGATTTTTACTTAAATTATTATACTATAGAATTGTATTTTTCTGTTCAGAAATAGTCTAGCATAAATGATTTTGATTTTAAAATTTCAGTAAAATAATTAGTAATAATATCAATAAGCTTGTTCAAATCTTTATAGAGCTTATTATTAATTTGAAATATCCAGCTACTCAATTCATTTTTAATTAGCCAAATGTTTTATAAGAAAAGAATAACAAAAAAAAATAATAAAGATATACACTATGCAATTATCGATCCAATCGAAAAGTGATCGGCGTTACAAATTGTAACGCGCACGTGATTTTTATCTACGTACATGTATATCCGATTTATGTATGATTGGATGATCACAGTTTTTTTTTTTACGCGTTATGTCCACGTCTAAACCTAAATTCGTCAAAAAACAGATACATGGATATTTCAAACGAAAATCGTCGGAATGGAATATTCTTGACTTCCTTAAAGAATGTGACTTGGAACCGTGTACATTAAAGTTAGAGGAATACATTTTGTCTCTTAAGACGATTTCTAATACGGAGGAAGGTCAAAGGCATGAGAAAGCTCAGGAATTGCTCAATAATTATATGCAGGCAAGCTTGAATTTTTGTATGTTTATTTGAAAGAATAAGTGGCGTGGTAGAGATTTCCGAAATTGTCTACCATTCAAAGTCGCCAAGACAAGCCAAGACAGTGTTGGGGCGCAGGTGACCGCCAAGATTGCCTGATGTTTAAAAGTCGCCAAGACTACTGACACTAGTCAGACATAGATGACCGCCAAGATCGTCTGGTGTCAAGATGAAATCAGGCGGAATGGGAATATGGCAGTTTGGGATATTACTAATTTTCTAGATATTTCTTGTTAGGGTATTCAAACTGATAAAAAAATAGCAAGAAAATGGGAGGCGGAGCGCCAGCGTAAACAGGTTCAACCGATCATCAACGAGACCATCAATAGGACCATCAATAACAACGGCGGGATCAGTACCATCAACAGTGGAATTTTTCGGTACCGATTTGTCTGAAAGAATTATATCCAAGAGAGATCGAGAAGATGTACCTATAAGCATTTTTAGTTAGAAGTTGAGAACCAGCAGAACTAAATATTTTCAATACTTTAGGACGATTTTAAAGAACAGATCGAGCAAACTACAAAAAAAGAACAACACCAAACTAAATGTGGAAGGAAAATTCCAAACTATTGTGAACTAACCTCCAGTTCATCTGAAGGAGATGATAATGACGAGATCAATGCTTTTTTTCAAAGTTCTTCGGAACAACAATCATTCAATCCGTTTAAGAAACTACGAAAATCTGATGAACAAGACATTTTCAACGAAGAGGACAACGAAGATGACGAGGTAAGGTCTTTACATTTAGCTATACAATGTTCTGACTATTCATATCAATCAAAACCGAAATTGCTAATTGGCATGATTCACAAAAATATATTCTCGCCTTTTCATACCACAGATTAAAACCACTAAAAGTCCCTCCGCGTCTGCTTCCTCTGCAAGTTGTGTCCACGAATCACAAGATATAAACGAAAACGTGAAAAGTGATGCGAAAACAAATTTAGAAGATACAGATATCGATGCTAGGCAAACTGCAATACCTTCGTCATTCTGTCAGACGACAGATATCATTGACGCGGTCACAAATGACAAGAACTCAATGCACAAGATTCATAATGAACCCGAAACTTCCAGCAATGACTACACTGAAGAGCTCGAGGACGACGAGGAGGAAATTAAATTTGATCTAACAGACATTTCGATAGAATTGCAACGTGAACAGACAGTTAAAGTATGTCACATGTCAAATACTGATTCCTTTATTCCTTGTATCTCATAGTTTTCTTCTATTTTTAGTGGGA